TGCATGAGCCCTTGAGATTTATAATAATATATAGAAGGGGTGTTGGCAAACCCTGACAATAGAACTTTAGCAGAGGTTTTAACTGCCTTCAGATCTTACTGTGAACACAGGAAAAATCCTATATTTGAGAGATACCAGTTCTAACAAATACAATATAATGAGGTTGCCAGAATAGATTATTTTGTTACTGAGCTAAGAAAAGAAAAAAAAGCCCAGTGTTGCAAGTTTGGTCTATCTCTGTACTTTATGCTAAGGGGCAAGTTTGTGTTCTGCATAACTGATTGAAAGCTTCAGCAAAAACTTTTAGAAAATCCTTCACTCACCCTCAAACAGGCTATGGATATTTGCAGAACTTAAGTTCTTACCAGTGCTCAGGCTAGAATTATGTCTGCAGAAGCAACACTGCATGCAATTCAGCAAATGTGAAACTACCCAGCATAGGGAAGACAAACTCTCAGCAAAATTTTCAATGCAAGCAACTGTCCCAGCAAGCACAAACAAGATTTGTAATAAATGTGAAACTGCACACAAACCCCAGACAATGCCCAGCTTTTTAAGCAATTTGTTATAACTGTTCAAGGTAAAAAAAATATTTGTGTTAAAAACGTGATGGCTGAAGGAAAACAATTTAAAGCTAGAAAAAGGCATTAGCATGATATTTATGGTTCTCTGTTTGATCAACAGCTTCCCTAGAACAGTTATCATTTTCACACTCTTACCACCATCACCCAAATTTAGACATAGTAGATTTGTGGTCCCTCTGTCAGTCTTCTGTCATCAGTCTTTTATAGAAGCAAACTGAATGTGGGTTTGATGACCACAAGTAGCACTTTGTTCTAGGCAAAATGGAGTGACATGGCAACAAAACTAAGAGCAAAACAAGGTGACAAACTTGCTCTGCCATTACATAGCAACCACAATAGCTAAATTTGATCATCAGCACATATTTTTGAAAGCACATTTGCCCTTCTTCAAATCCATACAGTTGTAGCCATGTGAACAACTCTCAGTAGTGCTTGCATGAAATTCCCCCATGTATTCAGGAACAGTGCTGCAGGGTAATCATCTTCTGATTAATTTGGCTTAAGTTCCATATTTTATTGGTGATTTACTCAAGGAGAGAAATTTTAGTGGTAGAGCACATCATTCTGTAGGACAGCAGATTTTTCTTTTTTCTTATCATTCGCTAGCACATGCATAGGTTCTGAATTCTTGGGTGTCTCTGGCTTGAAACAGTTGAGTTGGATCCAACAAGCTTTCTCATTCATTCTTACCCAATTACCCTCCTTGTTATAGACACCTTCCAAAAATGTATTCAGTCCCTGCTGCTCCCATGACCTCCAGCATAGGTTTTTGGTGGTCAAAGGAGGAATCCCCTATTGTCTATAGGAAAAGCTGGTTGGATCCAATCCAGGATTTTAAGGAACTAAACTATTCTGCTATGACTGCTTGTTCAAGTGTATGGAATGTACTTTTTTGCTTCAGATTATGCTTTTAATATCCAAGAAGGGGTTTTTATAAATCATTTTGTGTTGTAGGATAAATATCCAATTCGAATGACCAGATTGGCATGTAATGTCTCCATGTGGTTGTTGTAATCAGTAGACGAGCCCTTGATGGAATAGATTTAAACATAGTGATGATAACACTTCTTTAAAAAAATAGATACAGTGCACAGCAACATCAATACACTAAGTCTTCTATTTCACATGGCGATGGGGGTGGGGTGATATCAGGTTGACTAGCACAGGAGCTTACAAAGCTGAAATTATGGTTTTAGAGTAGATTTAATAATATCCATAAGTGCTGCTAGATGGTGCTAGAGTGCACTATTTTGGTTTGACAGGGGAAAAAACACATTTCCCCAAGAATTTAAGTGATTAATTAGATTTCATAAGCTGAAAATTTACAATAGTGTTCACCTAAACATGCTAGCTTTTTCTTCTTTTTAATGTTTTCTGTTTTAAGAAAAAATGGGAGGTTTTTTTCCACTTCAAAAATTAAGACCTTTTCAGATGAAATACAACTACAGTGTCGTTCTATTAGCTATTGCCGGGTAAGGATGATTGCATACACAACTATACTTTCTTCCTGTTGTTAAAAAAAAGTAAATTAGGTTCAGATTAGTTGGTTTTTCCCCCAGATAGTAATTGTAGATTCTGAACCCTAAGACTTTGCATCAATGTATTTGTATGCAACACATATCTCTGTCATGTTGTTGTATCTTAATGTGTTCTGGTATAGGTTTTAGGAGCTACATTAAATTTTGCATTGTTAATATTTCAGTTGCAATACTGTAGTTAAATACTGAGTATGTTGCATATTCCAGAAGTGGAGTCGTTGTGAGATACAAAATAACTTTGTTATTAGCTGTTTAACTTCATAAAAGTATAATTCTTCACAGGGAGATACAGGACATTTTTTCTCATCTTAAAAAAAAAAGATACTGTAATATCCACATAGTACATGAGTTTCCATCACATGAGCACACATGAAACTGACTTATACCGAATCAGCTTCTTGATCCATCAAGGTAGTATTGTCTACTCAGACTGGCAGCAGCTCTCCAGGGTCTCAGGTTGAGGCTTTTCACATCACCTGTTGACTGATCTCTTTAACTGGAGATGCTGGGGATTGAACCTGGGACCTCCTGCTTGACATGCAGATGCTCTACCACTGACCTGCAGACCCTCTCTCCATCTAACCGTTTGATGGTGTTATGTTCCAATTGAAGTTGTTTTTGTTGCATGGAATTGTGCTTGTTTTTTGGAGTGGGGGAGGTTATAATGCTAGTTAATTATTTAGCATGTGGTACTTGAAAGTATGCTATAGTTAAATATAGCTTGCATCCTAATTTAACATATTTTTTCCATTGCACTGAATTAATGTCTCCATTTTTAGCAAGTGCAAAAAAAATCTGGGTTAAGTCAGACCTTGACAAATTTTCTTTCGATCTAAGAGCCAACCCAAACTTTCAGAAGCCAAACTTATTGGGATCTAATACAGTATTTTCATCATCATGTGAGCCACCTCAAGCAGGCCTCTGAAGAAGAGGCATATGCATTTACAGGACACTGATTTAAAGTGACCAAGGGAGCTTCGCATCTCAAAAGCTTATGTCCAGTAAATCTTGTTGGTTAAAGTGTAATATAAACTCATCCTGAAAAGCCCATTTACTTTGGTTAAAAAAAATCCATTATAAAACTAGGATCTTGGGCTATATAGGAAATCACTGAGAAATATTCATCATTAGTCCTCGTATCTCTGCCTTAGATTAACATTTCAACCAGCATAGCATAGCAGACAGAATGTATGACTTGTACTGGGTGGCTGTGCTTCAGATAATTCAAATTCCATCACAGGCACAGCTCCTGGTTGACCTTAGATCAGTCTTGAACTGACTTTGCAAAGATATAGTGGGTATAGGCTTGCCAGCCCCCAGGTGGGGGTGGGGGCTCCCCAGCTATTGCAGGCTTGGGCCTGCTGCTGGCCACCTGGCCATCAGGGGAAACCCCACCACCAAAAAAAATGTCCCCACCCACCCCCAGAATGCCCCCCAGATCCCCCCGCCAGCAGCAGATAAGGACCTGGGAACCCTAAGAGGGGATGAAGGGATCCCTACATATCTTTAGCTCCTTGGTTAAAAGGGGGTGAAAAAAAATAAATGTGTATTGTATTTATATTTACATCATTTTAACTGCCTGCATTGTGGAATGTGGCTGAAAGTCTCTTATTTAAAAGTTTGCTTAATTAAATGGACTATTAATAGGCTTTGATCCCTCCACTATACACAGCACGTGAAAATCAAAGTCTGCCTTTCTCCTTTGCATCTGAGGAAGTAAGCTCTGACTCATGAAAGCTCATGCTGAACATGCCATACTAGACTTCAGTTTCCCTTCACTTCTGCCTATAAGTGCCCTTCTCCACTCCTCTTTTAGTGCTTCCCCACTCCTCGAACTGGTTTTGTTTCCCTTGGAGCTGTTCACCAAGTTCCACTTACCTGCTTTCTCCCACCTCAGAGTCTTGTGTGTCTGCATTACAGTGGGCAGAAACTCAAGAAGTTATAACTGAAGATTTGAGTGTCTGGCTATTACCAGGCAACAAGCTTCCTCTGTGCCTCCCACCAAAATGAGAGCAACAATTGCCTTGGCCATCTAAGTCCAAAAGCATGTATATGGGAGAGAGCATGAGAGGCAGAGTGGTGCCAGTTGGAGATGAGCTGAACATTTTGTTACAAAAAGCTGATTGGAAGCAGTTAGAGAAGTTTGCCCAGCTGAGAGTGCTGTTGGACTGTGCCAAGGAACTAGGGAGGAGGTCTTTGTTTATTTAAAGGACCTTGGGCTCTGCCATCCCCTCTGTTTTCCTGTTCTCACTGCCCTGGCTGTGACTGATCCTTTGACAGCAGCAGGAGATCCCTAGTTTGCAGGTCCAGTCACCTGGAGTCCAGTCACCTGAGGTCTGATGAGGGCTGGGTTAAGTTATTCAGTACTTGCATTTCAGTAGGACAGAAAGATAATTGATTCCAGTCATATAGTTATAAATGGCTCATATGCAGTGTTGGGTAGTATTACCTGCCTTTTACAGAGTCACAGGGATGAAACCAATGCAGTTGTTACTGAGATGAATTGGAGTTCCATTGCCTATCAATTTGTGGCTTAAGGAGATAATCTTTCCTATTTCGTACTTCATATGTGTCCTTTAAAGAGGGACCTAGTATTAACCAATAAATGGTTATCACATACAGTTCGGAATTTCAAAGTCCCATGAATGCAGATGGTCCTCTCATATCAATGGAACATTAACTGAGAATTGCTATCCTCCTTAGTAAGATATCCAAGCAATTCCTGTGTAGCTTTGATGTTTATAAATGTTGATGTCCCACATCATTTCTTATGATTTCCCTTTATGTCGTACACAGCCAAGTTTGGATTGAAATTCATACCTTAAAAATATGAACAGCAGTGTTAATTGCAGGTTTCTTCTGTTTTTTTCCCCCTTAGGACATGGACACTGTGTGGGACCCCAGAATATCTTGCCCCAGAAGTCATACAGAGTAAAGGTCATGGAAGAGCAGTAGATTGGTGGGCCCTGGGCATTCTAATATTTGAAATGTTGTCTGGGTAAGTTCAAGAGAAGGAAAGGGGGACTTAAATACAAATACTGTCATTTTTTCATTGTTTGGACAGCAATGAAAAAAAATCCTATTCTGTAGCGAATTCTCTCAAAATTCCTTTATACTTTGTATTGGAGGAAAAGAAAGGTTAATATCAAAGTAGGTAACCGACCTGAATGCCTGCCCTTTAAAAATTAGAAGAATTTATTAAAAAAACGATTTCCTTGTATGGAAATGGTACACTTTAAATATTCAGCAGTATAGGTGCTGTTGATTTATGAGTGGTTCCCACGTGACTGGAGGCTACCCCTAAAAGGCTCACCAGTTATGGAGTGGACTTATGGCCTGACTCTCTTCTACAAAATGAGTGCCCTCTCTCCCAATAGAGTACTGATTCCATAGGAAAGACTGGTGGCATTGACCCTGCCCATGTCACTAAATTGATTTATCTGTTCATGGATAAATGGCTATCATGTCTGTGGACAATTTAAAGAGCACCAGCATTCATTGCGATCCAGAGGTACCAGTAATTCCATGTTCAACAAGGCACTTTTTTTCTTTTAAGCTGATGTTATTTGGACTATGTTCTGTCTTAGTTAATTTACCAGTGCTGCTGAAGAAAGTTTAATATTGTGCCTTGTTTACTTTTTATCTTTTGAAAAAAGTATCTTTAACCTTAACCCAGACATGGGGGGGATGCTTGTTTTGGGGAGGGGGAGAGGGAGATACAGTGGTGCCATCAGAGCTTGACTCTGGGGAAGAGCTCCATGGGTCCAGCTTAAAGGCTCAGCAATGGAGCCCCAAGCCAGGCTACAGCTTTGCATTTGAAGATATCATTTAGGAGTCCCCATAATATCCTTAAATCCAAACACTAAAATTACATGACTGCATCACTGACCCAGATAGATTTTGTGGCATGTTTAAATGAAGCCAAATAAAATTTAATTGTATTAAACTGTATAAGTTAGTATGGATCACATTATTTCTGTACACAAACATGTGTCCTGCAAACAACCATGCATACATATGTACACACACACACACGATTGTGTCTTGTGGTATACATTTGTATACAATATATGCACATTCACTAACCACTGGTAGGGTGTTTTTTTTTAATAAAAGCAAATGTTCTTTTGAAAACAGAACAAATAGCTTCAGTAAAATTTCTAATGATATGTGAAGGTTTCTAGCCATTCCTAATTGTGCAACTGGAAGACCTCCACTTCAGTGGACTTACTCTGCTTAGAATGGTACTGGTAGAATCATAGAGTTGGAAGGAGTTTTATAGGCTGTCTTGTCCCCTGCTCAGTGCAGAACACAAACACTAGAGCATCGCTGGCAGATGGGTGCCCAGCCTTGGCTTAAGATTCTCCAGTGAAGGAAAGCTGCTTTAGGTGGTTGGTTCCATTGTTGCTGTGTGTTTTGTTTGTTTTAGAACAAATTGTGAAAGCTGTATTCCTATTCATACTGTATTTGCTAGATTTCATCTCCATTAGTCCTAACCCCATTACATCACCTTTCAGGAGAAGACTTCCCCACCATAGTGTATTTACACCATTGTGTTTCTAATGAGACATACTGTCTTCCTGTCACATTAGGCTCATATACAATGTGTGGTAGATCCTTGATGGTTTTATCAACATTTCTAGTGGAGCACTTTGAAATTAAAACCATGTTTTGCACATTAACAAAGAGATTTTTTTTGCCTTTTTTCCTGTGACTCAATTCTCTCTGTCCTGTAAGCCTAATTTTGGAAAAGGTTTTTACTCCAGTAGATGGCAGCATTCTCAGAATAATGTAGACTGTTTTATTTGCTTCCTTGCTAGAAGACTTGAATTAAATGGATTGTACAAATAATTGTTTGAGTGCAAAGTACAACTGAGATTTGCAAGTAAATGCCTTCTCTAATATTTTCTTGATAGTTACATGAGCAAGATTGCTTGTTTGTCATCTTCTAAAACTCTAAAATATATGTTCCCTTATTTCTTCTCATACAATATACATATTTTACATATGTTATTCTTTTTGTACTTGTAAAATGCACTAATCTGATATTGGGATCAAATTGATCCTAGTTATAAAGAAGATATATAATTGATATTGGCTAAAAAAATAATACAATGCCACCCCCAATTATAATAAAAATTAACACAAAGTTCTGTCTGGCCTTAAATGCATAATAATGGCCACTGAGTAATATGTGTGGGGGAGAGGAACCCTCAGCCAATGGAGGGAAGGCTTTCTTTCTCTCCTCTGAAGCAGGAAATAGGAGAGACTAGGGGAAAGGACCTGCGATGTTATAAACAGGAAGCAGCACAGAGTTATCTGCTCTCGGGCCATATTGGAGGCTTGCAGGGGCTGGATCCAGCCCGCAGGCCACATGTTTGACACCCCTGCACTAGACACTGCAAACCTTCCTGGAGTACAATTAACACCTCATTACACTCCGTTATCTAAACATGGGAGCCCACAAGCTCAACAAGTTTGGGGACCTGTGCTGTACACTGATGTTCTTTAATCACTTCCTCTGTTTTATGGAAGACGCTTCAGTGAAATTGATTGACGACCCATTAAACCAAATTTTAATCAAACCTTGTTTTTTAAGCAATACAATCTAGCCTGTTATAAGAAACAGATATCCTAAAGTTGTCCCAGTCAAGGTGCACATAAACTGTCAGAAATGTTCTGCCAGGCCTATGGTTCAGGGCAGCAATGATCTGCCATCAAGCCTGGCCTCCCCCATCTCCTCCCCTAGGGGAGGATGTATAATGTCTAATGCTATCTGATTAGTTGTGTTTAGTGCTGGTTTATTGTTTTTACATTTTAATCTGTGCGTGTACACACACACACACACACATATATGTATTTACTGAATTGTATTTATAAACTGTTGTAAACTGCCCTGAGCCCCAGTGGGAAGAGGGCAGTATAAAAATCAAATAAATAAATATATCTAACAATACTGCCAGTCCTAAATAAATGTAATAGTAGTCAATAAAGGAAGTAGTTGACCCATATCTGTAATTGGAGGTTACATGCAAACTTTTAATATCTGATTATGTGTCTGTGTGATCAAAGTTTAACTATTTTACACTAGCAGTAGTCCTGTTGACATACCACTGAAAATATTTGGCTAAGCAAATATAACAGACTTCCTCAAATCCAGGAAAGTAGTGTATCCCTATATCATCGTCTTGCATAAATGAAACATAAACATGCCTTTCCAAATTCAAATCAAAGGAAGCTGTTGATTAGAACAAGCCCTAGTTTTTATTGCCTGTACAATGTATGTATGAATATATAATAGATTATACTTATATGGCATCCTGCTTCTGACCCATTCTTTGAGCTAGAGATTTTTTCTCTCTGTCTTACTGAGCAAATGAGCCTGGCCGCTACTATTGGTGCTTCCAAGCATATGGACACACTACCTCTGTACCTGGGATATGGAGAGAACATCTCCACTTGGCAGTAGTTCCATCCTGATGTTTTGGACTTCTGTGACTAGATCACCCTACTGCTGCTGTTAGGGTTCTGACTGGAGTGGATGGGCATATTGTCTTCATCCTCCTCTTGGGGAACAGAGAGAACTACTGCAAGGTGGCTATATCAGGGTACTAGCCTGGCGCTCATGGCTGGGAAGTTCTCCTGAAGTACTTAGAATCAGGTTAGTAGCTGGTCTCAGCAGCACTGTTAACTAAAACCAGTGGGCTAGAACATTGCAAGTAGCAGTGGTAGTTATCCATACCATAAAGGTTTCCACCTCCATCATGCTTACCCCTGCTTCTTACTGGACAAACAAACACCTCAGTTACTCTGGTGTTGAATGCCTTTAAACCGCCATTCATACATTTAAATGTACAATTTTTTTAAAAAAGCAATGCTCTTGGCTTTCAGCTATGGTGTCTACAACTATGGGACCCTCTGAGAGCATGCCATTGATAGCTAGTCTGAGAAATGGGGCAAGTGGTGACGGTGAGCTGTTCTCTGTGGTGGCACCCTATGTAGGACCCTCTCTCTCTGTGTCTCAGAAAAGTGAGTGGCTGGTCATATGTAACTGTTTTAAACTTCCCATGTAGCACATGTTTGATGACTGACACGTTCCCTGTTCATGTGTGCACAGAGGACAAAAAAAACCCTAATATTTAATTAATTAATTTTTTATTTCTGGTACCTTCGCCATATCCAGTCTGCTGTTCTCTGCAATCTGCTTCCTGAAACAGTCATCTTAACCCTGCCTTCATGGAAGGGCTGGACCTGTTGCTCTTACAGGCTGCTAAGGCTGTGAAAGGCAATCAGGGAACAGTTTGCCTTAGTAAACACTCTGCATAAAGAGTACCTCCCACAAGCTGTAGGCCATCTGTTAGAGAAATATGCCTGATATTTGGATCACTATCTAATTATGAATGACAACTGAATGTCAGACTATAAATAGGAGACTGGTTATAAAGTGTGCTGTTTTCAACACACAAGATGGCATATTTCAACTCCTGCAGCAATAGAATATCCTATGTCATGAGGCTGTTACTTTAACACCATGTAAGTAACAGCTAATTCCCCCCCTTCCATGGTCAGTAAGGGTTAATAGTTAGAACTTGCTTTCTTATAGAAGAGTAGTGGTATCACCTGTGGGCCTTTAGGTCTGTCTTATCTCTGTGCAAAGTCATCTTGATTCTGAGGAGAAGTGAGGAGTTGGGTTCAGGTGGGAGATTTTGTATTAACAGAAATGTCAAGTGCTAATGTACAGTGAAAGGATTAATCTGATTGGTTGTAGTTGTGGGGTGATGATGCCTTTAGCCCCTATAACTTTAAGAAGTTGTTAGGCAATGAGACAACCCCATTTCACTTGGATCTTTGCCAAGATGACAGATGTGTGGAGATGGTAATTAAGGAGTGATATTTTCTCTAGGTCTAAATTTTATGCATGACCAAGCTAAAGAGGAGAACTTTAAAGTATTAGTTAGTCTGTAGGAGTTTATTTGTTTTTTGTGCAAAGAGCCTGAC